CTATTAATATATCGTTATTAGCATTGGATTGTTCACTTATAGAAAACATCAGCATGGAGTCATAAACTGCTTCAAATCTTCCAAAATCCACTCCTACCCACTTAAGATTTGCTTCATTGTACAACCAGAGAAGAATTTTGGAGGTCTTTCCTGATTTTCCATGGTAGCAAAGCACCCCCCCCCCCCCAAAGTAAAAATTGCAAAACCATTGCAAAATCACCATGACAAGAAAGCTACATGTATATGTACTGCGAACATGGACTGTACACTTTCCTGCTTATTGTCTAAATCATTCATAATTCCAATTGATTTCACCTATCGATCTGTGCTCAGGTGCGAAGCGGTATCGTTGGCTACAATTTTAAGTGTGAACGGTTCAAATATAGAGGAAATAAGACTTAATAAGTAAAATATTCAAATTCACAATAAAAAACATGATATATATACAAATCAATTAAAACATAATATGAATTTATAACAAACATTTAAACATAAAACAAAGAAAAGAAAACAATAATGAAGTCAGAGAGATGCCCAGTTCATTCCATTCTTTCTTTTTCTTAGCTAATCCACATTTCCAACCAGATAGTTTAATTGTTAGTTTTTTATGTTGTGGTTTTGCTGCATTTTAATATTACAGAAGCTAAACAGATCAATAGCTTTAAATACTGCAAACTGGGTCAGAAAGGCTGATACACCTTCTAATTACGAGACAATAGCAAGGCAGGAAGTTGTGCCCAGGAGGGTATTGATTTTTTTTCTTTTGTTCATGCTGTGTACAGTTGTGCTAGGTCTATGTTCTCAACAATGTAATGAATGTGTTGAACATCTGAAGTTAAGAGTCTTGATTTGAAACACATTTGCCAGAAACAAAACCAAACAGACCAGAAAGTAATAGTAATAATATATATTTATATCGTTATTAGCATTGGATTGTTCACTTATAGAAAACATCAGCATGGAGTCATAAACTGCTTCAAATCTTCAAAAATCCACTCCTACCCACTTAAGATTTGCTTCATTGTATAACCAGAGAAGAATTTTGGAGGTCTTTGCCGATTTTCCATGGTAGCAAAGCACCCCCCCCCCCCAAAGTAAAAATTGCAAAACCATTGCAAAACCACCATGACAAGAAAGCTACATGTATACTGCAAACATGGACGGTACACTTTCCTGCTTATTGTCTATATCATTCATAATTCCAATTGATTTCACCTATCGATCTGTGCTCAGGTGCGAAGCGGTATCGTTGGCTACAATTTTAAGTGTGAACGGTTCAAATATAGAGGAAATAAGACTTAATAAGTAAAATATTCAAATTCACAATAAAAAACATGATATATATACAAATCAATTAAAACATAATATGAATTTATAACAAACATTTAAACATAAAACAAAGAAAAGAAAACAATAATGAAGTCAGAAAGATGCCCAGTTCATTCCATTCTTTCTTTTTCTTAGCTAATCCACATTTCCCACCTGATAGTTTAATAGTTAGTTTTTATGTTGTTGTAGTTTTGCTGCATTTTAATATTACAGAAGCTAAACAGAAGTTACAGAACAAAAGCTTTAAATACTGCAAACTGGGTCAGAAAGGCTGATACACCTTCTAATTACGAGACAATAGCAAGGCAGGAAGTTGTGCCCAGGAGGGTATTGATTTTTTTCTTTTGTTCATGCTGTGTACAGTTGTGCTAGGTCTATGTTCTCAACAATGTAATGAATGTGTTGAACATCTGAAGTTAAGAGTCTTGATTTGAAACACATTTGCCTGAAACAAAACCAAAAAGACCCGAAAGTCCAATTCTAGTTTTGGTAGGCCCTGAAAAACAGTGCGTTAGAGTTTCTTGTATTCAGCGCGTCTGTAGCATGCTAGCTGTGGTGTTAATGGTTAGGAGCCAGAGCATATAACATTGAGTTCCCATAGGACATATATTTATTCAGATGGTTTTATCTCAGCCAATACTTAACATATTAAATTGTTTTTTGACATGTGGTCATTATTTTTGATGCTCTTTTGGAAAATGAAGAAAACATTTAGAAATTCTAAAAATAGATTTTTATGACGTCACAGCCTCGGTACTCTATACTGTACATGACAAAAACCTGTCGTTTAAAATTGAAGCCCCCATTTGACTTTCACCACTTCTAGAGCAGTAAGCCTAAAGTAAACACTAGCACTGTCCAATGTAACCTCCCCCCCCCCCCCCAGCTCCCCTTGACTGGGTGATAGAGGGGGGGGGGGGGGAGATAAGCGTGAGAGAGGAAGGGAGAAAGAGCGCAAGTTTTCAGAGTTAAAATTGTTGTTATATCGCCAATTCTGGGTAATGTAAATCAGGGATGTCATCTCACTAGCCTACACACGTATAATGAACGTGTAACACCAATGAGAGTTCCGTTTGCCTGAAGAGAGTGTATGGATCGTGGTAATCGCTCTGTTGGGGGAATAGGTCGGGTTCAAGAGTCCTAGCATATTGGTAAAAAGTAACTGTTACATATTGCGCTCATTTCAGAAGTACACTGAAATTCACCAGAAATCATGAGTGGAATATCAGATGATCTCACACATGTACAGTGTACATGTACATATGCAACCAAATGATAAGGTTTAAGATTTTGAATATTTAACATAATTTTGAAAATATACATTCCTATTCCATGAAACTTGAACATATCGAGTAGTTATCCAGAGCTGCCAACTATAGTACAGATTTCCTGTAATTAGTACAGAAATTAACGATCATTACGGCAGTACGGAAAGTTGTCTAAAATAAAAAAAAAAGGAAAAAGGAAAAAAAAAATTTATCGTAGCGAGTGCTGTACAGTATGCCTTTGTATGGCGGCCATCCAACACTCGCTGAGCAAGACGGAAAAGTATCAAGTATTCTCTAAATAGAAGCCAATTTTTTTCATTGAAAATTGATGTGTTGTGATGACCTGAAATTCTGAAAATCAATATTTTACAACTTTGTATGAGTAAAATCACAAAAAAATTCAGATAATCATGCCCTCCACCTGCGCAGTGTTGGCGTGCCATTCTTTAAAGATTCATATAGCACCGCATAGGAAATTACTGATTTATTCCCCAAATTACTGATTTTGAGCCTTGTGATTACTGATTTTCTGTTCTAGAAGTTGGCAGCTCTGAGTATCACCAATCATGTGATTAGAATTTAGGTGACAAAGGTCATTTCAGGTCTGCAAACTTAGACTTTATTGTGGCATCAACATCAAGATTTTGAATTTTTAACATGTCAAAAGTGTTACCGGGTATGAGAATTAATAAATGAATTTTTAGTATTTGTTCATATTTCATGAAAGTCATCAATATCAATCTTGGTACAAATTGTGTATGGCATTGTCTCTATGGCAATATTGCCTCTAGGATCAACATTAATTTTAGGTCATGTAAAACTGTATTGCAGGTGATTGTGCAAAGTACTAAAGTAGTTTGTTATGCAACCCGATATGAATGGTGCCAATTAATTAGTGGTTATATTCCGATCCGTATTGGTAAACATGAAAATAATGTAATGTGAGGTCTGTTCTATCATGGTATACATGTACAACTATAAATGTACATGTACTGTATGTACCAAGCCTGGGAAAATTATTTGAATATTCAAATATTGATTCTTAGTCAACATATTATTCACTTCCAAATGCTGATTATATTCAGAGGATATCATTTTGGGAGGCCTGCAAATGAGCCATCCTGCCTATAAATAATGTCCCAACCAATATTTCATCAGATCAAATTGCGTAATGCTGGCAAGACCGCAAAGAGCGTTTCACTTGTTTTTTTGTTGGTATAAATTATAAAACCATATCACAAGCATTAATTGAAAGGAAATTTTTAGGATACAATCTGTACCTAGCTTTATAACATACAAGCAAAATCTACATGAATAAGACAATTGTTCTGAAGGCTTATATTAAGGAAAATAATAACAACGCTGAGAGAGGGCGCTAAATCTGATCTAATGGTCGAAATTCAATTTTTTGTGAATATTCCATTACCAGTAATAAAAAAATTGATGTATCAATCACTAACTGTTCGTAGGATTTTAATGTATTATTAGAGTCTGATATACCGTTAATTGTTTTTTTAAATCTTTACCCAAAAAAAAAACTAGCTTTAAGAATAATTCCTAGTAAATAAAGTAACCATCAGATCACACGTTATTTAAAATAAAGAAAATTATAAATATCAAAGGGTAGTTTGGGGTGCTGCCCCTTGTCCCCCCCCCCCATCCCTAGGGAGAGGGGTAACTCATGTTTCCTGTTTGAAAATATCTAGAGTCTCACCTTATGCCTCTTTTCCATCGTAAACCTCACCTAGTATGCATCTATATAATTTAAACAGAGCCAGGATGTTTGGTACCACAATTTTCAGATTTTCTCAATTATCTCTCAAGTTGTGGCTTTACTCTTTGTGAACTCAACATTTGTTGTGTAAAATATATTTTCCCATGATATGTCTTGAGCAAAGAAGGAGACATGCTGCAATTTGCGAGATAATAATAATAATAATAATATTGGATTCTTATATAGCGCACGTATTGACCTTGCAAAGGTCCTCAAGGCGCTCCAACATTACCGGCTATGCTAGGCTGCCGATATCAACGCTCACAGCATTTTAAGGAATTCCTTCCTACCGGTACCCATTTAACACCTAGGTGGAGTGTGGCAAATGTAGATCAATGTCTTGCCAAAGGACATTAGTGCCGCGGCGTGACTCGAACCGCGTACCTTGTGATCGTCAGTCCGGCGACGTATCCACTCATCCACGACACCTCTAATATGGTCAAAAATTTAGTACAAGTCCACAAAAGCTTGCCATTTTGAAGTAATATTGCCAATTTGTTAATTGCCATAGAAAGTAAATAGAGACTTTTCAAACTGCCATATATACATGTAATTCTCTCATTTTCTAACAGATTTTGATGGAACTTTTTTTTAATTGCTTCTCCTTATCTTTTTTCTCTTCTGTTTAGATGAACCTAACTCTGGAGATTGCTCATTCACAGAAGTAGATTTGCCCATTAGCGAGTCAGATTGTTACCTTTCTGAAGTCGATGTTACTTACAAAGTACTAGGTAAACCTTTAAACTTTGTTTATTTCAAATGGTACCCCAGTAATGAAGTGGCATAAATGAAAACAAAACAGTGTGTGTGTACATGTATAGTTTGGAGGATGCATGGATGTACTAAAGGTTGCTTATACGTGTTCAGGAGTATCAGAAAAAAGTAGACACTTTTACATCAACACTTATTTTATAATATTGAAATCATTATTTTCATATATCGTAGATATTTGGCTTACCATACCGTAGGTATTAAGATATATATACATGTACATGTAGGTATGTATCTCAACAATGGCCTTATTGAATTAATTTGTTATTTTGGGGGTTTAAATCCCAATTCAATTGAGAAGGCTGTATATAAAGTATAAGACTCCTATCACTGATTGATGATTACTATATAGTAGAATGAAATGTTAACCCTCTAGGCAGAATCTGTCATTGCGGCCATCCTGTATTGACCTCCAATCTGCCTGATTTGTGTCAGATTTTTGTGTTTACCGGTAATACATTTTGCAAAGTTGGACTCATAAATTTGTTATCTTTTTTAATTAGGGGAGAACTAAAGAAAGATATTTGCTGAATGGTCTCCAAGTTACTATTTGGCACAATTTTTAAATGTACAGTTGAAATTATATTATCTTGAATGTGATCGAAGTTTTAAACATTAATTCTTTTAGGTAGAGACCCTGAAGGAGGAGCTATATCAGAGATTGATTTACAGAATGCTACAGGTAATTTAAAGTAGTACAAACGGTTGACTATGTGCCGGGCATGTACATGTAGCAAGGGGGGGGGGGGGGGGGGGGTGAGGACAGTCCAAAATGCAAAAAAAGGGAAACAAAAATGAAAGAGAAAAATGAAAACTTATCGAAAATGTAGGAAGGAAAGGAACCGACAAGGAATGATTAAAAAAAAAAAAAAATGTAATTTTCAAAAAGATTTGAAATTTACACCTTAGTTCTCCCAAAATTTAATGAAATGTAATATTTGAATACGCGCTTAATAGGAACATTTAGGATTCATCCAAATTGATCAGTCAATTTTCTGATTTTTATAGAAATGGATAGTTTCATCATTATTCTACCATTCCCTAACTTCTTGAGTCAGAAATATATATTTTTTAAGCAGTTTAAAATGACACCTTATTTTCACCTTAGATTGGAGTAAGTGAGTATTTGAGAGCTTTAGTATAAGCCAATGCCCACTAAGCCACTTACCGTACCCACAAGGTTATCACATTGATTTTCAATGGAAGTAAAGAATATGTCCCACTCTTGGGGTGAGAAAAAATTTAACTTTGTCTGATAATCCCTTCATACCAGTTGCTATGGACATGATATGAATGTCCTGTTTAGCTTGGTCGCATAAAGAGAGCTATTAGACTAGTCTGGTTCAAAACTTCAATGGCCTTTTCTCTGAACTTGAGATATATTGATTGATAGTTACATTATGTGATATTGAAGGATGTTACCATTGAGGACTTGAGACAAGTAATATACCATTTGAAAGCTGAGAATCTCTTTTTTTTTCAGAAAAGGTATTTTTTTAGAAGAAATATTAATTATGTAGGTTTTTGAAGTGGTTGGTCACAGATGTTGATGATGTTAGTGCTATTAAATTATTATTTTGGGGGTTTAAATCACAATTCAATGGAGAAGGCTGTATATATGGTAATTGGTATAAGACTCTTACCACTGATTGATGATTACTATTTAATAATATTTAATAATATCTACTTTACTATTTTTTTTCTTCTGTTTAGATGAACCTAACTCTGTAGATTGCTCATTCACAGAAGTAGATTTGCCCATTAGCGAGTCAGATTGTTACCTTTCTGAAGTCGATGTTACTTTCAAAGTACCAGGTAAACCTTTAAACTTTGTTTATTTCAAATGATACCCCAGTTATGAAGTGGCATAAATGAAAACAAAAAAGTGTGTGTGTACATGTATAGTTTGGAGGATGCATGGATGTACTAATGGTTGCTTACTGGTACTTACATGTACATGTATTTACAAGTGGCACTGTGTGTAATGTACTGTGCATGTACGTGTTCAGGAGTATCAGAAAAAAGTCGACACAAGGTCATCACATTGATTTTCAATGGAAGTAAAGAATATGTCCCACTTTTGGGGTGAGAAAAAATTTAACTTTGTCTGATAATCCCTTCATACCAGTTGCTATGGACATGATATGAATGTCCTGTTTAGCTTGGTCGCATAAAGAGAGCTATTAGACTAGTCTGGTTCAAAACTTCAATGGCCTTTTCTCTGAACTTGAGATATATTGATTGATAGTTACATTATGTGATATTGAAGGATGTTACCATTGAGGACTTGAGACAAGTAATATACCATTTGAAAGCTGAGAATCTCTTTTTTTCAGAAAATGTATTTTTTTAGAAGAAATATTAATTATGTAGGTTTTTGAAGTGGTGGGTCACAGATGTTGATGATGTTAGTGCTATTAAATTATTATTTTGGGGGTTTAAATCACAATTCAATGGAGAAGGCTGTATATATGGTAATTGGTATAAGACTCTTACCACTGATTGATGATTACTATTTAATAATATCTACTTTACTATTTTATTTTTCTTCTGTTTAGATGAACCTAACTCTGTAGATTGCTCATTCACAGAAGTAGATTTGCCCATTAGCGAGTCAGATTGTTACCTTTCTGAAGTCGATGTTACTTTCAAAGTACATGTACCAGGTAAACCTTTAAACTTTGTTTATTTCAAATGATACCCCAGTAATGAAGTGGCATAAATGAAAACAAAAAAGTGTGTGTGTACATGTATAGTTTGGAGGATGCATGGATGTACTAATGGTTGCTTACTGGTACTTACATGTACATGTATTTACAAGTGGCACTGTGTGTAATGTACTGTGCATGTACATGTTCAGGAGTATCAGAAAAAAGTAGACACTTTTACATCAACACTTATTTTATAATATTGAAATCATTATTTTCATATATCGTAGATATTTGACTTACACATAGGTATTCAGACATATACATGTACGTGTAGGTATGTATCTCAACAATGGCCTTATTGAATTAATTTGTTATTTTGGGGGTTTAAATCCCAATTCAATTGAGAAGGCTGTATATAAAGTAGACTCCTATCACTGATTGATGATTACTATATAGTAGAATGAAATGTTAACCCTCTAGGCAGAATCTGTCATTGTTTTTTCCTTCTATCACCTTTCCTTATGTTATTCTTTGTTTTAATCATTCTATCGACTTTCTCTTTCTGTCTTTCCTTATTTTATTCTTTGTTTCTTCCTTCTATCACTATCTCAATCTTTGTTTTATTATTGCGATTATGCTCAAAACAGCAGTCGACTGTCGCCGTAAACAATTCTAGAAAGCGCGCACCGAAGTTGACCTATACTTCCTGGGTCAAACTGGGCATTGTGATGCGCAGTGGCTGGGCTCGAAATGAGCGTTAATGGAAAGTCGCTTGAACGCTTTCCCGCAGTGACCTTGTTTTGTAACGGCGTTTTGATTTGTGATTCATGTATGTGATTCTAGCTTCTAAAAATCGCTTGAACGCACCCTTATACATTTTGCAAAGTTGGACTCATAAATTTGTTATCTTTTTGAATTAGGGGAGAACTAAATAAAGGTATTTGCTGAATGGTCTCCAAGGTACTATTTGGCACAATTTTTAAATGTACAGTTGAAATTATATTATCTTGAATGTGATCAAAGTTTTAAACATTAATTCTTTTAGGTAGTGACCCTGAAGGAGGAGCTATATCAGAGATTGATTTACAGGATGCTACAGGTAATTTAAAGTAGTACAAACGGTTGACTATGTGCCGGGCATGTACATGTAGCAAGGGGGGGGGGGGGGGGTGAGGACAGTCCAAAATGCAAAAAAGGGAAACAAAAATTAAAATAGAAACTAGACTATGAAACAAGAACAAATAACCAATGTTTTATTTCTTTTTTGGTAACATGATATTTCCATATGTTTCGTACAAAAATTAGCAATTTTCGGGCTGACATCCAAAGTCAAAAGGTCACATGACTTTGTAATGGTAGGTCTGATTTTCCAAAAATTTGTTTCAAAAGATGCGCAAGACTTGCCATAGAAAGTAAATAGAGACTTTTCAAACTGCCATATATAATTCTCTCATTTTCTAACAGATTTTGATGGAACTTTTTTTTAAATTGCTTCTCCTTATTTTTTCTCTTCTGTTTAGATGAACCTAACTCTGGAGATTGCTCATTCACAGAAGTAGATTTGCCCATTAGCGAGTCAGATTGTTACCTTTCTGAAGTCGATGTTACTTACAAAGTACTAGGTAAACCTTTAAACTTTGTTTATTTCAAATGATACCCCAGTAATGAAGTGGCATAAATGAAAACAAAACAGTGTGTGTGTACATGTATAGTTTGGAGGATGCATGGATGTACTAAAGGTTGCTTATACGTGTTCAGGAGTATCAGAAAAAAGTAGACACTTTTACATCGACACTTATTTTATAATATTGAAATCATTATTTTCATATATTGTAGATATTTGGCTTACACATACTGTAGGTATTGAGATATATATACATGTACATGTAGGTATGTATCTCAACAATGGCCTTATTGAATTAATTTGTTATTTTGGGGGTTTAAATCCCAATTCAAATGAGAAGGCTGTATATAAAGTAGACTCCTATCACTGATTGATGATTACTATATAGTAGAATGAAATGTTAACCCTCTAGGCAGAATCTGTCATTGCGGCCATCCTGTATTGACCTCCAATCTGCCTGATTTGTGTCAGATTTTTTGTGTTTTATACATTTTGCAAAGTTGGACTCATAAATTTGTTATCTTTTTTAATTAGGGGAGAACTAAAGAAAGGTATTTGCTGAATGGTCTCCAAGTTACTATTTGGCACAATTTTTAAATGTACAGTTGAAATTATATTATCTTGAATGTGATCGAAGTTTTAAACATTAATTCTTTTAGGTAGTGACCCTGAAGGAGGAGCTATATCAGAGATTGATTTACAGGATGCTACAGGTAATTTAAAGTAGTACAAACGGTTGACTATGTGCCGGGCATGTACATGTAGCAAGGGGGGGGGGGGGGGGGTGAGGACAGTCCAAAATGCAAAAAAAGGGAAACAAAAATTAAAATAGAAACTAGACTATGAAACAAGAACAAATAACCAATGTTTTATTTCTTTTTGGTAACATGATATTTCCATATGTTTCGTACAAAAATTAGCAATTTTCGGGCTGACATCCAAAGTCAAAAGGTCACATGACTTTGTAATGGTAGGTCTGATTTTCCAAAAATTTGTTTCAAAAGATGCGCAAGACTGGAAAGAAAAAAGTTATAAAATTTAAGCGCAATATTTTGTTTGCCTTAAAAAATTATCGCGAAAAATGTAGAATGTGAAAATGTGGCTTGCCCCCCCCCCCCCACCCCCAGCTATATAGGGTTAAGGTTGGATTTTCTGCGTATCGCGATGTGCTGTTACATAACTTTTTTTCCTTGAAGCTTCACACATCTTTTGACACCAAGTTTGCAATAATTATACAAAGGGTAGTGGAGTTGTGGCACATTATTTTATAATATAAGTATAGGGAATGAAAAAAATATAATGAATAAGAAATTAAAAATACATAAGAATGAATTTGAGCTTGGCAACTTTGCACATATTATGATGTTTCAAAACGATTTTCTCAAAATTCCTACAACAAAATTGGCCTCAATTCACCTTATCCGAATGAAAATATGCATCATATTTGCTTAATTTTAATAATGAATAACAATTTTTTTTTTTTTTTTTTTTTTTTTGCAGAAACAATTTACACCTTAAATTACCGAAGATATTCATCTCATGGAGAAACGTTCTTTTTTCAAACAATAATATTTATTATTTTATTGTGGATTTTTAATTTTTTTTATACCGATCTGTCCTTTTATGGCAGAAGATCTTTAGGGGGGTTCAAATTGACCCTCACCCCATTCAAATGCTGTTTGAGAAGCCCAGTTGGAATATAGTTAAAGGTTCATTTTTTTAATTCACAATTCTTTGGTAAGCAGTTTATGGTTATTGGAAGCGACATAGCAGCATAATATACACAACATTTTGACCAGTGATGTCTGAAGAAAAACTTATTGAATATTTAAATATAAATCAGTGTTGTGATGAAATTCTAATCCTTTCTGTCTAAGCTAGCTATCCTGATGTGACAAACTTCAGGGATAGATCCATGTATTTTAATTGTAACAAGGAGAAGAACGAGGGTGAGGAAATTAAATTTTGCAAATAAGATGTGACTTTGACACTAAATAGGGAAAGTACTTGGTTGTGTAACAAAACAAAAAAAACCTTCCTAGAGAAAATTTTAACTGGACGTGGAATGCAATTTCCTTATAGTTAACCAAAACCCCAAAGTTGATATACTTAACTTTAGCAGTACTGCAATTTAATTGTTTTCTGTTTTTTGCAGCTCTACGTGGGAGGAAACGCACTCGTGTTCATTTTATTGATGGCAGTTCAGATTCATCTTGCGCCAGTATTGTTTCATCCAGTGTTAAGAGAAGAAGTAAGTTTTTATGTCTGTTTTATAGGATTTATTTGAAGAATGCAAATTTGGCCATCCACCACAAAACAAACAATAAGCCAGTAATTTCATTTTCTTGTTTTTAACTGAGTTGTAAGGAACAGATTCTTAGCTTTAAAATGATGTGTCTTGCTATGTCTTAATGAAGAAAACTCTTTGAAATAAAAGTGAGAAAGTCAGACAGGCTGGTTTTTTTTTCTTCAGAATAAGGGAAAAAAAAGTCTCAAAGGGTTGGACCGTTGACATACAGCAAAAAAATATTAAATTAAACATCCTTGGCTACCATTGTGAATGACTCTAGCTAATAAAACTTACACAACATTTGAATACCTAGAATCCTTTGATGCATCAAAGTTTGAGAGTCTAACATCACCTTTCTTTGAGTTATGGTCATTAATTTAAGCCATCTTGATGAATAAGATTTAGAGTATCTGAGTTTCTGCCTAATAATGAGTCTGGGCACACCATTTTAAACCAAAGAAAAATAAAAACATGTACATGTATATGACCCTCAATTTTTGTACAGATAATACTTAGGATTGAATTATTACCTTTTAAAAAAATCAACTCTACTCTGTTTTGGCTTTTTACATCACAATTCCCATAGTGACGTATTGGTCGTTTTAGGGTAGAGAGTCAGAAATATTGAACAAAACAAATGTTTAAATGTTAAAGATAAAGTTGAGTTCTGGTCAAGTGATTGCATTGTGAAAGAAACGTTGTGGAATCGATCAGAAAAGGTTGATCATCTAGCATATAAGTATTGGTGTTGTACTGCAAGGTTCTGGAATCATCAGAATGATAAGAAATTTGGCCCAGTCTTGGTAAAGTTACAAGCACTGTACACAGAAAGATGTATATGGAACTACACACGACCATGTGGCATAAAAATCTGTCCCAAATTTTATGATGTTACATGCCACATTTAGAATATTAAGGCATTTGAAGAGCCATGCTTTTTCAGGGAACACTTTTTATCTGATGTTCTTCCACACTTGCACAATACAATGATAACGCTCGTATTCACCTCTTCCCAGAACTCAACCTTAATTCTCTTTAAGCTCCTGCACATGTGATGTATAAATGCTTTATACCTACTATTTTTGCATGTAGTGCTATCTCTACTTTTACAATTGAAAGAGGTGAGAACAGTGAGATTTGCAACAATAAACCGTGTATTTGTTTATTGGCAATGGTGATGACAAGTGAGAAAAAGTGCTAACCTCTGTTATGCTCTATTTCCAAATTGTAGAGGAAAACAATTCCAGTCGGGAGCTATCATCTATTCTACGAATGAAATGCTGCAGAAATTACTGCCTGCACAAGGTGTCACGAAAAGAGGTAGCATACAGCAGAAATGCCTTCCAGGAGAAATCCAAATGTGAGCAAAGGCAGTGGATCTTGCAGTACCTCCTCGAACATCATGAAGAGTCTGGGAATACAGTTCAAGTCCGCTTCAGTATTGGGGTGACAGAAGTTTGTCAGCGTGGTTGGCGTTTAGCCTTAGGAATCCCCAGAACAAGGCTTTGGCAGATCCAGTCTCATTTCCAAGGTAAATATACAGTATAAGATGCATGTATCTGCATATTTTTCTATAAATAGAATTCTCTAGGTTAGCAAAGACAGGTAGTTAATATAAAAAACAATTCATGTTTGTTAGTGCATATGATTAAACAAGCATTAAAGTCCAAGTCCACTCCAAAAATAACTTACTTTCAATAGAAGCAGAAAAATCAGACAAACCATTGATATAAAACTACACCCATTTCATCACAAATCGTATGTTGATGCACATTCATTAAAGCAATATTGAGCAAAATGAAATGTTGTGAAAGCAGATATCGAGCATGCGTTATCAATTTCAATTTTTTGCTAAGTGGGAATAATAAATGCACGTCCATTTAGTGGCAATTGATTGATTGGATTGCTAAGATTCTAGAACATGTCTTGATAGACCAAACTGGGAGGTCACAGATTCCAACCTCGTTGATGTGCTTGACAAATCAATATTTGTTATTAGTATTAGTAGTAGAAGTAATAGTACTAGTGGAAGTAACCCCAATACTTATACCTCTATGTTACAGGTGGACTAAAGGCATACATATCCCCAAATCATCACAGACGAGGAATGCAGTCAAAAGCAGTGGCTGCAGCATTGATGTGGCTGGATATGTTTTGTCGCAGATTTGGCGACAAAATGCCAGGACAAATGAAAATACACTTGCCATCCTGCCTAACACGAGCCAGCGTGTATCAGACAATGAAAGAAGAAATGGAGGATCATGGGGAGCACGTTTGCAGCAAAGTCCATTTCTTCCGCATGTGGAGGAAGGAAATGTCACATGTGACCATTCCAAAGGTAATCATAATTTATTCCTAATGCAGAATTAGCTTTTGATTAGAAATGTTCAATATCAGATATTGTTTCTTGCATCTTCTTACAATTTCTGCATATTATCATTGTGAAGCCATGGATGTGGCAGTATTCACTATGAATATGACGGACAAAGAAAGCGGACAAAATATACAGTTCCTCAGGTAGACAAAGGAACATCCCTTCACTGCTATTATGTAAAAAATTGTAGAACAGAATGAAAAGAGTCCAACGCCAATTTTATATGTATGAGAAATTACTGCATCTGCTTAATAATTTGTTTTTGAATATAACACAAAGGGGATCGATTCATTAAAAATGCTGCCTGTGGTTATCCATTCTACCTTCCATCTGTCTGAATATATTCCCAGGGATTTCTAAAAACCGTTTTGACAAAGTTTGTTAAAGTGTTTTATGTTCTTAGGGAAGGCATGTTATCTCATTCAATTTAGGGCTTAATGGCCAAAGGTTTCAACGTTAATTTCTGTATAATATCTTGTGATAGTTGAACAAATTATACCTTCTTACCTGCTCATTTTTCTTTCATTGTCTTGATATCTTATGTTTAAAAAACACTACATTATATGCATTCGTCAATGGTATGTCTAAGATGTAGCGATTTTAAAATAAAAAGGTGAAAACATATCATACAAACAAACAAGAGTCTAGTTGTAAAAGAATTTTATTTTTGAACACGATGAATTACTCATGATATTTTCTATGGTCTTTATTTATGTCAGGTGAATAGATTTTCAAAATGCGATGTCTGTACTCAGCTGAAGCAAAGCATCTCGAAAAAACTAATGAAAAAGAAGCGAGGCAAGCACTCCATCAACAAAGAGAGGATCATCTTACACTGCAAAAGTAAGAACCTTTTAAATTCCTTCAAAAGTACATCATATCCATACTTGAATGCAAATACAAGTTGATTCCTATTGATGTACATTCCTGCATACATCTCTTATTTTGTCATTAAATTGTGTAAATATGTTTCATACTTTTTGTATGACTCCTTTGAGCGCTGGGGACATATCGCATGAAAAGTTGTGGATTCACCCCCTACTCCCCCCCCCCCCCCCCCCCCCAGCCTGATTAGGATTTAGGATTCTTCTAACCTACAATTTATACTCTAAATGTAGAGTACTGAATTGATTAAGTACCCTAAATGGCAATTGAAGCTGTAAAATACCCCATTATAAAAAGGCCAAGTAAATCCTAATATCAAGTTGATCTGGATTTGTGAATAGAGTAAAATCAAACAAGCATAGAAGTGAAAATTTCATCAAAATCGGATGTTTTAAATATATTGTACAATGATGATGTGCATATCATAGGCGGTATGCAAATGAGTGAGCTGATGATGTGACATACTCACTTTCCTTACCTATGTACTTTATTATATGAAATTTCAAATATTCCCATTTTTTTGCTCCAATAATGTTAAGCATGGTTTGACTCATCATGGAACATGTAAAATCATCTTTATTTTAACTAATTGTGATACAAAGAAAACAGGTCTCAAATTAATTTTTTGTCCACGGGGCTCTTCCCCCAAAAAGAGCCCAAGGGGGGGGGGGGTTAAACCCCCTAACCCCCCCCGTAGAGCTGCCCATGTTACCATAACTATCCTTCCACGACATCTCTTGATCTTCCTCTTCTCAATATTTATTTATTGGTCGAGGTTCATTATTTGCTGGTCATTTGCAATCACCATATTACAGAGGATTCACGCTTTTCACAACAAAAAAGCTCCAGCAGATATGGGGCGGCAGCGTGCACACGTACCGGTACTAACGGCCCAGTAGGCATATAGCCACTGCTGACGGCGGTGCAAGCTTCCGTTGTTTGAATCAGTACTAATACTCATAGAACGAGCTCATGTTATGCATATCACAGTTTTATGAAACAATGTAAAACTGTAAAATGCCATCACTTTCTTAGTTATACATCTGATTTTTGTGAAATTTTAAATGCTATGCTTGTTTGATTTTAATATATTTATTTAAAGCAAATGATATTAGGGTGAACTCTCAAGGAAAACGGAGTTGTGGAAGAAGTACATTGTAGCAGTAGTAATAGTTTTATGACCCCTAATACTTTCAAATTTCATTTACACTCTCATTTACATGTATGATCATGTTATATACATGTATCAAAATGTCATGTAAGCTTTCATTTAATGCACTCTCCAATGTTCTTTACCATTTAGTATCTGTAAAATCATATTCCTCGAAAATATGTCTTTTCATCCATGTCATATTTAGTTACATATTTTTATTTTTGTATCATTTATACAGAACTGAGAGAATGAAATACTACAAACATGCACAAAAAGCAAGACAACATCCAGACAAGTATATCAGCATCATTATTGATGGAATGGACCAGAAATCAACAAGTATTCCCAAATTTTACAGAACATCCAAATCAGTATCATCAGCATGGAAACTTCCAACACACATCACCGGAACGATAGTGCATGGGAGGGGACAACACATGTTCCTTGACAACAAAGAATACCCACATGATTCGAACCTTACCGCAACGATCCTTCTCCAGGTTCTTCATAAATATTCCACCACGCTACCAGACACATTATACCTTCAAATGGATAACTGTGGGAGGGAGAACAAGAATCAGTGTCTCCTTGGACTCTGTGCTCTTCTAGTGGAACTCGACGTGTTCAAAAAGGTAAAAGTAAATATAGAGGACTAATCCAATTGAAGTAATAGTTGGCATCAATCTGGACATAAAATTTGTTATCCCATTGGCTAATGATGTCTCTAACTATCCTAGCCAATGGGTTAATTTGCTTTCCATCAGTACAATCCAGAGTTATCAATGCAAAAGCTACCTTTGGATTGAGCAGCCGATGTAGCAGTAACATTTCTAGACAGAATTCTTTCAATCTTGTATGGAAGTGTATCTTAGTAAAATCTAAAGCCTATTGATTTGGTTGATGCTGCTCCCAATATTTGTTTGTTTTATATAAGGTTGAAGGTCATAATTGTGATGTCCCTCCCTTATATATATATATATTTATGATGTCATTCTCTATTTCACCCCCGCTCTCCCCCTCCTCTCCCTCTCTCATTCTCTTGCGGGTTTCTGGTTGCGCTCGTATCCATGGAGCTTTTTTATGCTTCTAGCTCTTTGTGGGTATTTTAATACATGTAAATATCATTCTGATGGCCTATGGTCGAAAATTTGAAAAACTTGTTATCGGTGTTTACAGAATTTCTGATTTACTTGTCTACTTTATATACATGTATATATTCTGTATATAAGAAGATTAAAAAATACCATGTTTGCCATTAATTCCAAATATATAGGATTAAAAAAAACAATAATAGTGGTCCTGTGTACGAGGAGACAACCCCATTACCCTATACTATAGATTTGTATAGGAGTAGGAAGATATCCCTAGCCACCTTGCACAACTGTAAACCCCAATCAATTATACTAGAAGGAGAGACCTGAGGGTTTCACTGACATAGTTCTCAGGCAGAGGTACTGCAAAATATCAAATAATAATACTAGTAGTAGTTGTTGTAACATTGTTTATTTTATTTCTCTTGTTTATATCATTACAGGTAAAACTGTGCTTTTTGATGAAGGGGCACACACACGAAGACATCGATCAGCTATTTAGCCGCATATCCACATATACATCTAAGCATAACTTCCTACGCTGTCTTCACTACTACACCACATTCCAAAATCATTCAACAAGCCGAATACCACTGCGGAACGAATCGAAACCATCTTCAACATCAGGGACTGGCTACAGACACAATTAAACAAACCATCACACCATAGCCTTCCACACCAATTTAAGATCACCAAAGTCGAGGGAAAGGCCATAATCCAGACCAAAAAATGGAGCAACAGCTCTGCATGGCAAGCAACGACTGGTTCAAGCCACATCTGTCGGAACATCCCTCCGGTACACCAGATGTTGTCTGCAGAA